GGACCAGGGAGGATGATTCAACCACTCAACCACTAGATGTCACTGAAAACAACAAATCCTACACACTGTGCCTTTAAGTATGAACATTTGTTTAATCTCAAAAGTACAGTTTTTAAATTAAATGTTGCTGAAACAGCAAGTTTCTCAGTGGATCTGAGCTCAAAAATACAGCCTAGGTGGAGTAGTCGAACACAGATCCACTGATCCTTCAACACAGAGCATCTTCAGAAGACAAGCTGATAAAATAAAATTTAAAAATCTGTATTGTTCCATACAAGTGTGTATTGAACCTAAAGCTCTGTTCGATACGGGTACATGTATTGTTGCACCCCTAATAAATATGTGTATTCTTTATAAAAAGTCTTATTTCAGTGCCTGTTTGTTTCTATGACGTMTTCTGCTTTGTTCAGAACTTTGAGTTTCACTTGTGTTTAAAAAGTGCTAACTAAATCAAGCTGAATATAAAACAAGAAAAAGGATTTAGTCACAGCAACACTGGTTTGTACAGAAACAAACTGTGGCTAAGGATGTTTTTGATGCTTCTTAAGATATTTTCAGATGTAAATCTTGCTGAAGTCCCATCGAAACCTTTAGGATAAAGGTGCATGGATATTTTTATTATTTTATTGTTTCTTGTATTTTGTACGGTCATGAAACCAGATGGAAGTAAATCTATTATGCTCCAGTCATATATGTTAACAAACCTCTGCTTTTATTTTTCATTCTACAGAGCTTGCCACTGGTTACATTTTCAGCACTATGTCCAGTCGAGGAGGTAAGAAGAAGTCAACGAAGACCTCCCGGTCTACCAAGGCTGGGGTCATCTTTCCCGTGGGGCGCATGCTGCGTTATATCAAGAGGGGCTTACCCAAATATCGCATCGGAGTGGGAGCGCCTGTCTACTTGGCTGCTGTCCTTGAGTACCTGACTGGTGAGGATTGTTTTTTGTGATAAACTGAACCAATATTTACTTTAACAACTCCGTCTTGATTCCTTTCTTTTCCAGTCATTCTGTAAACTTAATCTATAATTTTGCTGGTGCGTTTAGAAACATTGTCCTGGCTTTTACATGAGCCAGTTTTGGCCAATTGTTAGCAGTTGGACAGATGCTCTCTCATTTGACTTTGGAAGATTTTGATCTACTGAAAAATTCAATTTAGTTTGTTTATTTAGTGCCAAGTCACAACAAATGTTGTCTCATGGCATTGGGAAAAAAACAATCTAAGAATTGTGTTGCTTGTTGTTCAMCATGACCAAAATCTTTACTTTTGTCTCATTTGTCCATCATTAAAGTAATTTTATGGTACATTCAGGTTGTGCTGCCATGCTGTCTTTAGACATTTTCTTCCAGTCAGGGTTCCCTCGGATCCTTAAAAAGTCTTAAATTTACCTTTCCTTAAACTGTAGGGAACCCTGCTAGTTGTCTTGGTGGATGTTCAGTCTTTCCATGTTTTTGTTCTACATCATTTATCGATGACTGATGATGTTTCTTTGATATTTAGCGGAGATCCTGGAGTTGGCAGGAAATGCAGCAAGAGACAACAAAAAGGGTCGTGTAACACCACGACACATCCTGCTGGCCATTGCCAACGACGAGGAGCTGAACCAGGTGAGCCACAGTTCTCGGTCATTTTCTGACACGTAACACGAGGTTTCTGAATAATTTGTGTGAAGAGGAAGTCTTAATTTTGGTGTGACAGTTGCTGAAAGGCGTGACCATCGCAGCGGGTGGAGTTCTGCCCAACATCCATCCCGAGCTGCTGGCCAAGAAGAGGGGAGCAAAGGGCAAGCTGGAAACTCCCGTTTCACCCGCTCCCGAGAAGAAACCTAAGACGGTTAAGAAAACAGCCACTAAGAAAATGACTGGGAAGAAGGCAGGAGGGAAGGCTAAGGTACGTCTCAAAGTGCCTGATTACTTCACCTCTGAATGTGTTTGAGTTTATGTGAGAAACTTCAAAATAATTTTCAAACGTCATTAACTCCTGTGGCTAAATATTAGCTTAGCTTTTTAAGAGATTTAGAAAGTTGATATTTTGGCACATTATAGTTAAAGTTTAAAAAAAGAATGTTTCCAAATCCTACACAGGGTTCCCACGGGTCCTTGAAATCCTTGAAAGTTTGTGAATTGGTAAAAATTATTTCAAGGCCCTGGAAAGTTTGTGAAAAAAGCCAAAAACTACACTTGTACTTGAAAGTTCTTGAATGTTTTTTGAAGTTCTCTATTCACATGACGGGTTTTCATCATCTGTAAAAATAATAATAACTACACATGAGTTTTTACGATGTAAAAACAAGTGTGCATTGCCATGTAGCATGCCTTTGCCTGCAGCAGTGGATTTGCAGAATGAACTGTGGCCAAGTTCAAATGTGTTTTCTATACCAGCAGGTGTTTGTAGTGAGGGTAATTGTGTGACAATCTGAAGTTTGAAGAGATTTTTTTGTTGAAGTTGCTGTAGCTGGGTTTTGAACCCTGATCTCCCACATGAAAGCCCACGGCATTAACCATGAGACCATTGGAGCTGTGGAAGAGAGGATTGCTAGGGGTTCATTTGTATGTGTACCGAAAGAGGCCACATCGCCAATGCAATCGTTGACACCAAACTGCAATATATTATAAAAATAAAGCAATATTAGGACAATATTATAGTAAGACATTAAAATACAATCATATTAGTATTGTAAACACTGAACTATTGAGAATAAATATTATTAAACTATGGTTCAGTATTGAGTAGATCCAGCAGGGGGCAGTATTGGGTGAATACAAGGCTCCATTGACTGCCATAATAATTTATTAAACATTAAAATTTCAAAAACTATAAGTTGTAGAGGCACGAAAAGGCATAGCCATCATTTGGCACAAGAGCTTTACAGATCTAAATTACAATGGCAGCTGTAGGACAAAGTATGCAGGAGGAGAAGCGTGCCAAAGTGGAGATGACTTGAATGGGAAACGAGTCACAATAGTGTYCATTGCATTGGATGAGAGCACCACACCTCCTCATGTCCTCACCGTGTGTCTGGACATGTTCACATCCCCTCCTCCCAAACTGAGCTGCCAAACCTCCCAGGACATAATTACATGTTCATGTAGTGTGGATATGAATGTAGGTTAAACATTTAATCCACTTTGTTTCATCAATTCTGACTCAACAACTTCTATGTTGTTCAGTTTTTCACTGAGTTTACATGATATTAAACCTGTCTATTAACATTCAGTGGTAGCAGTAGGTAATTGCCGTTGCACGTGGTTCTTTAATGTGAGGAAATTGGTACTGGAAAGTCCTTGAAAGGTCCTTGTATTGGATGTTGACCAAGGTGTGGGAATCCTGTCTACAACAAATTGCTCAGACCGTTGACCTTTGAACCTACAACCTGTGGCTGCTTGCAGATGCGTTTTTCCTGCCTTGGTTTGAGGTAACACAACAGGTTGACYTCATCCTGCTGCTGTTTTGTAGGGTTGGGCATAATCATATCGTGTGCAATTAAGTCCCCCAAACCAGCCGACTGTCCTCCAAGCAGCCGGTCGAGGCAGATGGTCTCCTGTCCTGAGCCTGGTTCTGCTGGAGGTTTCTTCCTGATTAGCAGGGAGTTTTTCCTCTCCACCGTTTGCTCAGGATGGGAGACTGTGATGAAGTGATTCAACACAATCTGCTGCTTTCTTCTTTACATTATTCTTTTTATGTACAGTGTCCTGAGACAACCTATGTTGTGACTTGGAGCTGTATAAATAAACTGAATTGAATTAATCGTCAGAAAAACATTAATCGATTACTTTTTGGTACTTGATGATTAATACAATTAATGCCACCAGACAGAGTTCGCTCGGTGCTCCTCTCCACTTCAAATATGATGAACATTAAAACAAAGTTCTGTAATTTATTTATCTATAAATACAATTTAAAATTTGATGTAAAGCCTGAAGTCTGTAATTTTGACAGAATTTGGAACAGATTTTTCTGAAGAGACAATCTTTCCCATGAAATTGGTCATGTGACTAGGACATAAGAGTATCCAGGGACTCCAGGAGATTAATCATAAAAGTAATCGTTATCGGCTAAATACCACAATTAATGGTGATTAATTGTTTTGCCAATATTGCCCAACCCTACTGTTTTGCCTCTGATCCTCAAAGGAAGGTAGTCACAGAAAACTGGTGTTGTCATTGCCTCATTCTCACCAATCAACCTGCWGGAACCTTTGACCTCCACACACAGGGGCATACAAACATTTACTTTTTKATTATGGATCAAAACAAAGCCACATGACATGTTTTGTTGTCTGTTTAACAGAAGCAGGGTGAGGTGAGCAAGGCAGCGTCAGCAGACAGCACCACAGAGGGCTCTCCAGCCGACAGCTTCACTGTGCTCTCCACAAAGAGTCTCTTCCTGGGTCAGAAGGTAAGTTTCATCAGAGATCTGCTCACCCCACACGGGTCTCAGCTGATTATACACAACGTTGATCGAATGAGGTGAATTAACGATGCTTAGAAAGACGTAGATWTTCTTAGAAAGGCAGTAAAACACACTCAGATTCTCTGATCAAGACTTTCTTATAGTATCTAATTGAAAATATGTTTTCTGTTTTCTATTTTAAGATGACTTAAGAATGATGCTAGAAGAGTCTGATTCTCTTTACACATTAAACAATTCACATTAAAGATCCTTCTTTTGATGTAATAAGTTTTTTGTCTTTGTGCGCTCCCAAAACCAGACCTGGGGTCAGATTTATAAAACTGGCGTACGCACAATT